TAATCTAATTAAATCGCCCAGTCTGTCTTTATTTATTATTACATGGAAGTACAGTAGATGAAATGTAGACTGAACTCTTTGAATGGATTTTCAGTTCCAAAATATTGCTATAGTTGGGTTGCACCGTTAATTATCGTGTCGCATAATGTCTATATATTCCAATCAAGCTAGGATACCGGTTTTTGACTGAGCTTTTTATCGACCGCTTGCATAAACTACCCTCTTTAATGGGTGATTACTCAAGTAGCATTAATTTTTCCTACTTTCGATGCTTTGAAAAATGTAAATAAATTTTATGGGAAACATGCACAAAAATACTCTTTATTTCACTCATTCAGTGATAAATTACGTCTTTTTTAAATTTTATACTTGAAGAAATGGTATCTTTCTGTTTTGAAGACTTTAGTTTCCGAATACTTTTTAACCGGACCTGCCGTTACAGTTGCACTTAGGGTACCCGAACTACAAGCTATATATATCATATATATATATATATATATACATATCTTATGCTATTATGAGGAGGACATATGGAGCTCGTAAAATCTTGTAACGGATGTGAACCACGTTGTCCACTTTATAAGCAACATTAGTAAATGTGCTGATGCGTGGCCTTAAAAAATTTCATAGCTGGAAACTTATTTTTAAAACCAAAAGATACTCTTTGAGTATGGCCTTTAAAGAAGACGCAAGTTGTTACCAAATGAGTCGGCGAAAGAATATTTCTACGCACGATTCCTTTAAAATGTATTAAATGTATACGGACATCAAAAATCGATGGAATATCCACACTACCTATGTAATCATTTTTTACAGAGTGTAGCTTCTACAGACGGCCGAAAAAAGGCTCATTCAAAAGTCCACATCTTGGCGCGACTGAAATACTTTAGGATTATGCCACATGATAATCAATGTTACAATCCCACTTAAGTGATCTTTTCGAATTGAAAACGCATTTCAAAATTTCGGTCAACATCTCATGACATAGCATACCTACTGTATTTGTCTTCATTTTTTACGTCACCTATAGTTCGCATACAAAGAGCCTGTTTTGAAGTCACGTGACAGAATACTGAATACCTGTAGCCATTACCCAAGCGGAAGAGTATGAGTCCCTAACGTGTTGGATGTTAGGGTCGAAAACCAGGAAGTTCCTACTGTTTTTTTACTGGTTAAAACTGCGACCTCTGCCTTCTCACTGTAGACGGATCTGTGTCGAACTTGAGTGGGCGATGCCACCCAGTAGACGGCTGGCATCTCCGTGAGCAGAGAATTGGCCCTACCTGCCCTCTGCAGTTGAATAAATTGCGTATGCGATGCTGTTCTTCTTTCTCCCCAACTCATTACCCATTTGCAGACGAGGGTGGTTGGTCTACCCCACCTTTGACTCATGTCCAGGGGAGCTGCTAGATTGCCAATCCTCCATTTAATCGGTCTAACGGGGAGCTCACTCTCCAAGAGGAATCCGGTGGTTAGTGCATTCACCACAGTCGTAGCTACATACCTTGTTTCTCCCGCCCCCCCCACCTGAGGATCTGGTTGTAAGTACTCCTTCCTAGCGCTGCTTCTGGGACGACTCTCATTTCTGGGAGACCGGAATAACCCTCGCCTCGTGTGCGTAGGAAGCAGCACATGCAGACTGGGAGTTTGTCACATCGATTGCCGCGTCCACACCCGTCTTCGGTTGTCTGCGCTTATTCTTCTCGCTGGGGCGGCGTGTGTGGTGTGCGTGGGCGGAGAAACTCCGGCTGAGGCAACATGAGCCATACTCACGCGCAGCTCTACATGTCGCCGTCAGGACAGCAGCTACAGACCAACTGCCAGAGGTTATTAAACCTCCATTGCTGACTGATTTACGCTCGGGTTCCTATGCACCCGTCCTACTGGTGGACATTTCATTTTCGGTGAAGTATGCTTTTGACTCGCCAGGTAGCCGGACTCAGAGGGGCCCTGGCTGTTAGGTCGAGCTTACTTTCACATGCGCTGGGAGAATCGCATAAAGCGTAATTTTTTTAAAAACCGAAATGCTGGCTGCCTTCAAACACTCTTCTTTACAAGTGAGGGGCATTTTACACCCTTCCAATGAAAAACAGTTTTTTTATTGACCCTTGCTAAGTAGACTGGTCTGCTTTGTGCCTGAAAAAGCCATCAAAGCATATACTAATTAATTGGTTAATATTTTTAGGACAGTGCCCTAGGTGGGTGTAACGCTCGCTGGCCGTAATTCATAAAGTGTTTTGTGATCATCTCTCCTATTAAGCACTGTATGTATATTTGATTTAGCTCTTTCATTTGAGAATTTACGTAAAGATTTTAGCTGGCGTTTATGTAGGTAAAGAATGAAGTAAAACCTCTTTATATCTATCTTTTAGGACATTTTACTCCGAACCTTCAAGACCATGACCAATGATTCTAGCCGCAGTCGTATGCACGAAGTCATCTACGCTGCAGCCTGGATTTGTGGCGAGTTTTCAAGGTTATCATCTGCGCACTTCTTTTACATCCCTTTCTTTCCGCCTATTTAAGTAGCCCAAAAGTGGACAGTTTTCTCCCACCATCTTGTTTTTTTTACCATCTCAATCCTCTTAGGGTACTGAAGCCCATGTCTTCATCCAGCATTAAGTGACTACTTCGTACGTATGTTGTATGCGTGCGAAGTTGCGAAGTCCTGAAATATTTGTGCATCTAGCGGTCTCAACGTCGTTCCCGAAGATTTTCACTGTGTTCCCCGTAGCAAGGTGGGCGCAGGGACAGTGACTTGCGCAGCATCTGCCGCACTCCACTCCCTTACCCACCAGAGCCATGTGACAAGACAGAGTCGAGAAAACCTCGGGCGGGATGGGATGCGGATGACTGGTGAGACGCGGGTCTGCGCCTTGACGTGCCCCCACATTCCCACGTACGGCATTTGCTATGGGTGCGCAGCCAAATAATGCGTACTGCAACCTGCACTGACCCCCGTGTTGGTACAGCGCAGCTTCGCGTCGCTCGTTGTCGGGGAGCACAATTATTCACCTGCTACCGCTCAGACAACAAGATGAGTGTTTTTGGCGCATACCTTATCGAGCTTAGCGGAACAAAAGAACGCCCGGAAGGAAGATCGCGTTTGTCGGGTGCAGACGGCAAGCTCCATAGGGAGCTTAGAAGATGCGGAAAATCTAGTTCGATTACAAGGCAAGGGAAATTCAAGGATACCGCCAGACGCGTCGAAATGAAGAAAATTCTCCGCAATCTAAGTCAACCGACTTCTTCCTGCTGCGTAGCCCAGACAGAACGACGGCGCTTTTATCAGAGAAATCAGGGATCCTGGATCTCTGGGCTGAGAACTTTCAAATGTCCTCAACTTTCCAAGAACCCATCAACAGACTTCGTCGCGTTGAAACCAGCGTTGACTTTTATGGTGCCTCTAAACGAGACGATCAAGACAGCTCATTAGCTGTCAAGTGAGAAAGCCTTCGCGCTCACTATTTCCACCGCAGTCTGCAAGTATAGTGGCTCTGCACTTCAACAGAAATTGACCTTAACAGGCGATTCGAAGACGCAGGCCGAGTCGCTACCATGCACCCCTGCTAACTGAAAGAAAACTGACAAGTCTTTTACAGCCACGGAGGTATTTACCCGAATAATCTCGTTGGCGAATTCTTCCCTCGCACTCCGCTTAACCTTTTGACTTCAGTCCTCGGACAAGGATTTTTCAGAGATGTTTGGTGTTAATACGCGGCCCGGACATCAAAATCAAATGTCGCATTGCGCGAAAACTCTTCAATCTGTCTTTAGTCTCAAACACCTGAAATATGGACTGAAGTCGGTTAATTCACCGCGAGCCCAGTTCAACGATCTGTCCACCGAATTACAGGCTCCCGTTCTGTCGGTGTCCGTCAGAAGTATTGACTGGAACTGTGCCTGGCCTATCTCATGAGATGTTAACTGAGATTCTGGGATGTTTTTTGTAGACAGGATTACTTGGGTGAGTTTGTAAGATTGGCTTTTTTGC